CAATCAATCAATCAATCAATCAATTTAATAAAGAGATGATAGTCAAAGATAAAACATAGACTTACATTGCATAGATTTCATAGCGGTTTTATATGGACATGGTTATGACTTTACACAGATCCCTGAAAAAGTCAAATCTGTCTCCAAACTTATGAGCATCAAAAACAATAAATGAAAAGAAAAATACAAAAGGTGGTTATAATGGTTATAATAGATTCAGAGTCAAGTTACTCAGTCAAACTGCAAATATTTCTTCATATTTGAATCTGATTTTATACTTTGTTAATCTACTCATTCAAATGACAAACTTGAGGTGAAAACTTTCATAACACCTTTTTCTTATTTCCAAAAAACAGCTTGATGTATGAAAATAGGCCTTATTTAAAAAGCAATAAGTAAGGCCTTGCTTACACAGTGTAAGATTTGAGTTTTACTCAGTTCCATTTCTGCGGAAAAAGGAGCTGCAGACGAGGCCTCCTCCCAGGAACAGAAGGACAGTAGTGAACCAGCCAATGTAGAGCGCAGCTCCTAACTCCATCTTTTTAAGTAGCAGATAATCAGGATGATTAAAAGACTCGATAGGCTCAAAATGATCACTGATGGTGTTGGTTGTCCAGCTGACTGGGATGAGAACAAAGAAGCCTGCAATGAGGAAGGCAATTCCAGAAGTCAGAGCCATTTTCCTCCTTTGTCTTTCGTCTGGCACAAAGTTCATACAATTTCTCCCAGCCACACCAAGCAGGATCCCAAGGACCTCAATGATAATGGCAGTGATGATGAGTCCTCTGGCAGCCTTCATGTCTAAAGGTAACAGCATATACTCGTACCCCATGCACTCCATTTCACCTGTTGGTGAGATCACACATCTCTTCCATAAACCCTCCACCACGGAGAAGGGCATTTCGTAATCCCTGAAGGTTTTCGTGATTCTCCATGGGGGGAGAGCACAGCTAATGATGCTCCCCAGAAAGCCGATGCAGGCCAAAGCCAGGCCTAGAAGCTGTCTTTCG